TGTCCCTCGTCCTCCTGGGGACCCCAGCTCCATCATAGTCTTCTTTTCCTGCGGTGTCACCATGGTTCTTCAACATGACTGACTTCGCCTCATTCTTCTATGGAGCAAGATTATTCTCAATAATAATTCATGCAAAAGACACGATGCACACATGCGTAGCCCAATTCACATGCATAAAACCTAATTCATGTGCGAGAAAAAATCAATATATTCACAAAAACCAATTCACGTGCCCAGAATAAGAATATATATTCATAAAATGCATTTCATTTGGAACTGTAACTCTTTAAAAACAGTAATGTTGCAACCCATTCATTTTGACAGATTTTTGAAGTCATGCATTATTACTACATTCATTTTAGAATAGTACCCTATGACCTTGTACATGTTCAAGAAGTAAAGCTTTGTTATGCATTGTTAACTGTTCTTGCTATTGTTCTCTTTCTTTGTCAGAATTAAAACTTTCAAAACAAGTCGATGGTAACAGTTGCTGTATAAATTTTTGAAATTTATTAAAGTTTAAATTGTATAAAAATTTTCTAAATACATTAAAATGTCCATGAAATGGCCTGACCATGATAAATTGTATTGTACCTGTAACATGAAATATGAATTGACAATTATGAAGGAGTACAAACGTAGCACAGCTAAATATAAGTCTCTTGCATAGGTCTGAGATTGGCTTGATACCAGTTTGATGCTGTGCTACAAGTTCTTCAGTCAGCGGGTATTCAAACCTCAATTACACTGAATGGCTAAATCTGAATGGGGTTTCAGATTTAGGGGCTGAATGGGATCATGGGTAGGCTGGACAGTGGCCACCCAGATGTTTGTTTTGCTCACCCAAGCATCTGAGTGATTGTAACTGTGTCGGAAGGGCACTGTACCTAGCATTGCTGCACAAAAACAGAGCAATGAGCATAATTCCGTCTTCATTTTGGCCAATATATGGGACATTGTGGTTAACACAAGACAGCTGCATTTTTGGCAACACTATCTGTATCCATAGCAGCCGCTGGCTTACACTGGTCACGTTAGTGAGTGTGTCTAAAAGACGATTTTACTTCTAATTTTTAAGTAAACATGCAAAAATAAAACAATACACCTTTACTAGACTAATTAACTGAAATCAAACAATCAGCTGCACATTTCTCTGCTGAATCGTAACTTGTACTGTGGTCTCGCGCTGATGACGTAACATCCAGGTAGGCACGGCCAGGGCACACGCTTCATACACCCAACAGTGGGTTATGATTGGTTGATTGACGGGCTCAAATCTGATTGGCTAAAGAGTGTGAGTGACCCGTGTGGGAGGAGCTCACTGTCAGGAATGTTTCAAAAATACACACACACAAATCAAAGGCGATTCACACACGAATGGCGATTTGCACATTCACAGTCCATGATAAATTCGCGAATTTGAAAATTTAAAAAAACATTGTACACAGCTGTACATCTGTTAATTTTGTTTTGCATTTGTGAAACATATGTTCGTCTTCTTCTCGGCTTTGGTCTTCATGCGGCAATGAGGCTAGACTGCTCCATACCGCCTCCTAGTGTTCCGACAGACAGGGTCAAATCTGATTGGCTAAAGAGTACGAGTGTGCCGCGTGGGAGGAGTTCGCTGCCAGAAAGGTCTCAAAATTCACACACAAATCCAAGGTGATTCACATTCACAGCCCATGATAAACCCGTGAATTTTTAACATTCAAAAATTTTGTACACAGTTGTACATCTGTGAATTGTGTTTTGCATTTGTGAAACATATTTTATGAATATATATTCTTATTTTGTCCACATTAATTGATTTTTGTGAATATATATATTTTTTGCGCACGTAAATTAGGTTTCATGCATGTGAATTGGACTACGCATGTGTGCATTGTGCCTTTTGCGTGAATAATTATTGAGACTAATCTTGCTCCGTAGTCTTCCATCACACCTCCGCCCTGGGCATGGTGGAGCCACATCCCTCCAGCTCCATCTGGATTTGTCACCTTGCTGATTCTGCCATGGCCTCCTCCACTGCTGGCTCCACCCTGGTCTCTCACTCCTCCAGTTCCCTTATGGTCTCTTCCTCCACCAGCCCCCATTTGGTGTCCCAATCACCAAATGCCTCACCAACCAGATTTTCATCCCGGAGGTCTTTGCCCACCTTCCTAACCTTGTATTAGCTATCATCACCTCCTCCCTCCACTTCGGTGTTAGTTTTGTTTATGGCACCAGGAGTGGCCTACCGGGAGGGGGTGTGATGCCATGTTTTGTTTCTGTCTTTGTTTTTATGTTCATGTTTCCTGTTTCCTTGGTTACCTTGGTTTCTGATTATGTCATTTGTTTCATATGGTTGCTCATTTTATCACATGTGTCTTTAGTTGCTAGATTAGTCTGCATATTAATATCCCTCAGTTTCAGTTGTTATTTGTGCTTTCTTGTTGCTTTAAAGGCAGACTGCTGTAAATAGATTCTCTAAACCATACTGTAACATAAAGTTAAAGTGAAGCTAACTTGATAAATAATATTTGGAACAAATGTTCTGAGAAATCCAGATTTTTATTCATTTATTTTTTTGTAATGAACTATATTACAGTTATGTTATTTTATACTGAATGGATTGTGATAAATCACATTTTAACTGTTTTACGTAATGTATATGTGTTTGGGTTGAGTCTTGAGGTGGTTCAATATCCATAACTTGAAGCTTTTGTAGGTCAGAATTTTGAAACTTCTGCACTCTCTCTGGTTCTGTTGCTTCCATGAACAAACAACTTTAATAGTCCTTAAAAGTGACAAAGTGAATTTAGATTTAACATTAAAGCAATAGTTCACCCAAAAATGCAATTCTGTTATTATTTAGTCACACACAAGGTATTTGGAGCTGACAGCTTGGAAAAAAAAAAAAAAAAGACCAATAATAAAAATGAAGACCAGAGTTAATTACATGAAGGGAAGTAAATGAATTTTAATTTTAAAAATCCCTTTAAAATTAAATCTGTCTTTTTTTTTTATTAACAAATAAAGCCACACTTATATAACTTTATAAAGTTATATAATAAATAATTGTCTCATTAAAAAGTTACAATTAATTTAATATTTTATTTGACCTAACAGTTTCGTCAAATATTGCCTTATTTAGTTATATATAATCTTTAATAACTAATTTTTTAGGGGACTATCATGTGAAGCATGATGTTTGCATATTGTTTGTTTTTAATTTTCACAATGTTTTGCAAAGAGCAAGTCTTTTACAACTATATGTATAGTAGTGCAGTCATTCACTGCTGGTTTACTTCAACAAGTGGTGTCCCAACACAGTACCAAAATCTTTAAAATTAGATATTGACATTTTTTAATATCACCAAGAACTGCACAGGCCCAACAATATGCAAACTGATTAACATGACACATGCTGAATAGAAAAACTGATTTATTAGAGTTTGAGACTTTGATGTCATCATCAAAATATAGGAAGCTTTTTCTTTTTAAAGTTAATGAGCCTATTAATTCAAATTATATAGACGGTTAGTTTGGTTACCATTTCACTTTGTTAAATTTAGCATGGTTTTTTTTTTCTTTTTACAGGTGTACTTGAACATATATGGTCCATTTTTGGGTCGCAACCCAAAGCCATTGCACATAGCATTCATCTCAATGATAGTTGGTCAGAAGTTGCTGGAAGAAATTAAATCATAAGTTGAATGTCACTTTCTGCAGCAATGATAATTACTGTACTTCCTGGTTCTGAGACACAGACGGTTTTGCTGAGCATTTCATAATAGTCATGAGAAACTGAGAAATAAAATGGGTTCAAGTAAATCTGTTTATTATTTATTATTATTTATTTATTTTTTTTGTCAGGCAAAAAGGAAACATTCATCCAACTTCACTTGGAAAAAAGTTTAAACCGCCTGTCTATATGCATGCAAAGGTTTATGTTTATTTCATGTATCAGCTGACCAAACCAGTGGAACATTTCTTTCGCATGAAACCAAAGTTAGGCTAACCACAAAAGAGAGCTGTGCAGAAGTTTTAATATGTAAGAAGCAAATTATTAAAAACAATTAACATGCAAGCCAAAAATAAAAAATATAAAAAATAACTTTACTATATTTATTAAGCTTTAATCATGTGATTTCCACTCTAGCTGTATAAAAAGTTCTGCAAAACATGAAAAAGTAACACAAACTTGCAAGCGTAAGCGGCTGTAACACACAGAAACCACATTGCCATATAGTTTACATTAACTCTCATTGCTCGCATGAACATCTTAGAGAACTTAAAGAAAAAAAAAAGATTATTTTTGAAATGGTCTGTATAAGAATAATAATACTTAAAGGGGTCCTATTATGCTTTTTCACTTTTTCAACTTTAGTTAGTCAGTAATGTTGCTGTTTGAGCATAAAAAAGGTCTGCAAAGTTACAAAGCTCAAAGTCCACTTCAAAAGGAGATATTTTATTTAACAGAAATCACTTTTCAAAAACTACAACGAACGACTCGTTTGGACTACAACGCATAATTTCCGGGATTTGTGATATCACAAATATCGACGAATGGGACTAGACCTGGTTGAGCTGCACTAGATTATGTCGGAGACACGCTAGCTTTCCCAAAGCAGATGAACTTAGAGTGGTTACAATCATCCGGGTTTAAATCACGCTCAAATTGATTTGATTTTGAAGCAATATTTACACTGAAGCTCGCAGGTGGCTATGGTTAGGGGCATAACATTTCCCGACCAGGCGCCGAATCACAACACACACTGGCCCAGCTAACCAATCACAACACACACTGGCCCAGCTATGAGAGCCTGTTCTAGTACACCCCCAAAACAACATCAAGACTTTGTAAAAGAGCATAATTGGACCCCTTTAATACAAGCGTATAGCATTATATTAGAATCTATATATATTTAGATTAAACACCATTTCCACAAAAAAAAAAGTCTGATTTAGTTTATTAAACAAGACTAATTTACTTAGTCTTTACTTAAACAAGACTTTTGTTACTCTGTGGTCTAAGCAAAAACAATGAGAAAAATGGAAAAAGAACAATATTAATAATACGTTTTAATTGGGTAAAGACATTTATATGTAGATACAATTTATAAAGTTGTTTTTACAGTTTTTACTGGCTGCAGAAGAGAGTAGGTAGTCTGGTCCTGGTCTGGTCCTGGGCAAGGTCTGTTTCTTCTGGAGAGCTTAGAGAAATCAATGTCAGCATACTGAAAGAAGAAGATCATACAAATGAATGGCCGTATACTGTATGTAAGACAGAATGCACAGTCAGATGGTCATATTCAGAAAATAAACCATGACAGGTTAATCAGGACCATGATTGTCTTGTATCATACTGAAAGATGAGAAGAAAGAGAGATGTAAAACTAGCACAACAATCAAATATACAGTTTAGCAGTAATTATACAAAAATATTTGACCAGAATGTTGCGACTGACCAATCAGAATTGGGTATCCCAGACGGTTTGTGCACTAAGTTTTTAAATGTATTTTTCTAACACACATTTCATGTAATTTATTTAATATACTATTTGAAGTTGAAATGATTTACTTGGATTAGCAACAACTAAAAGATAACTATCAAATCACTAAGTAACCTATGAATACAAGAATAACCAGGACAGGTTAAAATGTAGACCAATGTATTAAAAGTAATTAAACTAATTTATTGAAGAAGTATCTTACCTGTGGATCATTTGTGTTTTGAGCTGCTGTGGTACTTTGAGGTTTCTCCGAAGTATTTTTAGATCTTCTGGTTGCGTCAAGGCAGCTCTTCACCAAACCTGAAACAGCTCTGAATTAAACATCACTGAATTCACATATAACAGTTTTATAAGAGTCTCCTTATCTAGAGTTTCCTTGTACTTAATTCAGTTAGACTTTAATATGAATGTAGTAATATAAAAAAAGTCCACACCTATAACTGCAATGATCAAAAGCACATTGAACAGGACTGATGTAATGGTCAGGTTCCTCCATGGTGTCTCGTGTTGTGGAGCATCATGTGATTCTGTCTCATTCCTGTGAACTGAGTCTGTAAATGGTTTCTAATTCTATTTTCAGTCTTTAACAACTTTATGAACATATACAAAATATACAGTATATTGAATATATAAAAATTCATCATATGGTTTAAAAATACATTTGAAATGAGAAAACAACTCACCGCTGATGTAGACGTTGGTGCCGTTGCTGAATTTTAGTGGTTCACTAGTTTTCACACAATAATAAACTCCTAATTCATCAGTGGTGATATTTCTGATGAACAGACGACTGTTAGTTTTCACTGAGTATTTGTCTTCAGAGATGCTGTTTTCATATTTAGCTCCTTCATACGTGCTACTGTAAGTGCGTAAGATGAACACTGGAGGATCCGGTGACTTCTGTCTGTACCAGTAAATCTCCTCTATATCAAGATCACAGCTTATATTCACATCAGCTCCTAAAGTTACTGCTGTGTTTGTTAGACTCTCTGTGGCTTGAGACCACATGAACAGATCTATAAGAGAAATAAAACACAGTTATTAAGACAGATAATCAAAAGAAACCCCATTTATTAATTCAGTCAAATATGATGTGATAAACTCACAGATCTGGAGCTGGATGATCTTCATCGTCTGATCCAGATGAATATCTTCTATACTGTGATCATTCAAACATCTCTTACTGTGAGCGGAAACACTACGAAACCTCAAGCACACAGAGAAGAGAGGAAGTCAGAGCTGGACTTCTCTGATAGCACTAACAATTAGTTAAATCAATGTTTAAGGTTGAAGTAATTAGCAGTTATATGCGGGTGGGTGGTAAACAGTGGCGGCTGGTGAAAAATGTTCTTGGTATGCCGCCACGTCCAACAATTTTAGCAAACATCCCAGTATGATTTATCCCAGTATAACAAAAGAAAATATATTAAGACTTGACACATTTTAAATAAAGATAATTGTTTTACCACGTTCAAGATTAAGTTTGAGGATGATTCTCACAAAACTATACAGCATATTCTGCAAGAATTTTTCCAGATAAATTAAAACATTTTTTTTTTTATTTTCATAATTCACAATTTATGTGTACAGTGCAAAGTTTATATCAGTTCAGTTTAAATAGTATCTTTGCAATCATTTGCAATCAAGTCAACGATATCGCTGGAAATGAAGTGTCCCCAACTAAGCAAGCCAGAGGCCAATACCAAACAGGACGACACGGAGATGCCAACAGACCACTATACCAGTCGCCTTAACTGAGTGTATATAAATTTATACAGATCCATTCAGAATTATTAAACAGAGCAAAGCACAAATTAAAAAAAAATTCTGAATTTGTCAAATGTGGCGATCTGAAGGCGGCTCGACGTCACCAGTGAACAGTTCCTCTGTCAGAGTAAGTGTTGATGCCCACATATAGGCTATAAACACCACTGACTGCAGCAAACTACTATAATAACACGCTTCTTGAGCAAGTGTCCATTTAAAACACTTGCCAGACATGCGACCATACTGAAATGTGCTTGTGCAGAAAGCTATCAGAGAGCGCACACACACGGTTTGTTTGTTTGCATATTAATAATAACGGAGTCACGCATCTAATAGTTTGCTGTATGTCACTGTAATCATCTTTACTTCCATTACAATCGTCATCTGTTTAAACTTTACTGGAGAGATACTAGCTTGCTTTATTCAGCCCATACAGACTCTTCCTGACTTCAGCTTAAAGATTAATAGGGGGCACAATCGTCGCACAAGTTAAGGGGCAGTCGTGGCCTGATGGTTAGAGAGTCTAACTTGTAACCCAAAAGTTGAGAGTTCGAGTCTCAGTACCGGCAGGTATTGTAGGTGGGGGGAGTGAATGTACAGTGCTCTCTTCCAACCTCAATACCATGACTGAGGTGAGACCGTTGAGCAAGGCACCAAACCCCCAACTGCTCCCCAGGCGCCGCAGCAATATGGCTTCCCACTGCTCTGGGTATGTGTTCACTACTGTGTGTGTGCACTTGGATGGGTGAAATGCAGAGCACAAATTCCAAGTATGGGACACTTTCACTTTCACTGTATGATGACGAAAGCACGTTAGTGCTCGTAGGGCCGCATTAAGACCTCACTGGGCCCCGGGGCTATGACTTACTGCAGGGCCCCCCATCACAATAATATATGAATGGGTCATTCTTACTATTCGGTGCCATTTCAGTTTGGTAACTCTCCATAAAAAATGTTTACATTTCCATGTTGTAATCATTTTATCTGAAGAAGGGCTTCCTAAAAAATATATTGGTCCAGCTCAAGATATTATTCTTTATTAATTTTTCACGAAATTCCTCAGATGTGCAAGGACCAAATGTCCACCCTGTTACAGGACATTCTCATCTCAATTAACAAGTGTTTTGAATGCACAGTTATTGTAATATTTACATTTTCTATATAATATAATTATACTCTGTCCACCCTGTTACCTCAGTGTTTTTGTGATATTACTAAAATAAGTTCAACAAATTGGTTACTTGTAGGGAATGAAATGGTAAAATTAAATAAGTTAAAATAGTTTCCAAAATTCCATTTAAATTTATTTTTATTCTAAAAGAAATGTGTTGAAATTACGCTGTGTCTCAAAAATACAACAACTTTTTTCAAGATAATGCCCGATTATTAACACTTTGTTAAAATACATTTGCAGAGTATAGAAAGGGACATTTTAGCTCTTAGAAAATGTAAATATTACAATAACTGTGCATTCAAAACACTTGTTAATTGAGATGAGAATGTCCTGTAACAGGGTAGACATTCGGTCCTTGCACGTCTGAGGAATTTCGTGAAAAAATATTAAAGAATAATATCCTGAGCTGGACCAATATATTTTTCTTATAGTGTAACAAGCCCTTCTTCAGGTAAAATGATTACATCATGGAAATTTAAACATTTTTTATGGAAAGTTACCAAGCTGAAATGCCACAGAATAGTAAGAATGACCCATATATATAATTATTGTGATGAGGGGTCCTGCAGTAAGTCATATCCCCGGGGCCCAGTGAGGTCTTAATGCAGCCCTGCTTCTCACAGCTAGCGTAACACTGTGGTAGAAAAAAAATCCCACCCTTTTACACTTTGGTGGTTCGTCGCCCTATTGCCCTAATGAAGAAACTTCAAAATTATAATTATAAAGTTCTAAAGTTCTAAATTCAAAAAATTTTTAAGTTCTGGGTTGCTAACTGAAAACTACATCAGTGTAACCCCGGAACTGATGAGCTACTGAAAGCACAATTTCATTTTGTTACCATAGTCCATATTTCACAACAATACTGTAAGTACTTCAAATTGATTTGGATAAAAATCAATCATTTACTCACCCTTATGTCATTCCAAAATTGCATGAGTTTTCCTCTTTAGTCAGTGCAATACAAAAGAAGATGTTTTGAGAAATTTCTTTTTTTTTTTTTCTCCATACAGTGGAAAAAAAGTTTATGTTTTTTCCCAACATTCTTCATATATTTATGTTCCATACAGGTCATACAGGTTTGGAACATATGCTGATCAAATATTCATGGCAGGAATAAGTCTGATAGATTGATAGGCTAAATAAAATTAAAAAACAATAATAAAATGAATATATAAATAAATGAAGGGCAGGGTGTATTGCATAATCTTAGTTGCATGTTTTTCAGTTCATTCAGTTCTGAATTTCACCCTGACTGGACTTCATGATGTAGCCTACTTAGTCTGATCAGGACAAATCCAACAAGTGTTATCATACTAAAGCAAACACAGTGGAAAATTGAAATGGAGACATTCCCTTACCTCTTCTACAATAAGATTAAACAACAATAACTAGCATTGCAAGAGCAAGGAATACAATTCAAATGAACAACTTATTTTATTAAACGGCATAATTAATAGTTTAAATTATAAATAATTATGATTAAATTATTTTAAATGAACACAAACAGGCTATTGAGAATCCTTAGATCCGTTATAATTTATACAGCAAAGATAGGGGAAAATGTGATTTATTTTAGTTTATTATTTATTAGTTTGAAAATTGTAAATGAATATTAATTTGCTGAAAAATTTTCACAAAGGAACTTACAAATGAAGGGCATTGCAAGTAATTCATTATAAGAATACTGTTTATATACGGAGTATATATTTTTACAGTCACTCTTCATTTTCTATTTTAACAGGCTGTAACAAGAACAACATACCAGAGAGGTAAGGACAGCTTAATTTATCATCTTGCTTAAGTTACATCTGGCCCATGCATAAAAATGATAGTTATTCCGATTATTTAGAAACATCAGAAGCTCAAAAAGCTGCATAAAAAGAAAATGTGCCTTCTAGTTGGGGATGTAAACTGTGGTGCAGTGTGTCACACAGGTGATGCAATAATTTCTAATGAATCAAGACCGAATTAATGTTAGATTATTACTATGAATAACAAACATGGCATCTTCACCATTTTTGTTCTCCACTGGTTTATTTCCAAGTGTTTGTTTTAATCATGGGTTCATTCTTACTTCATACTCCTGGGCTCTTGAGCACATTCATACTCTTCAAACACGGCACTTTCATTCTGTCTATTTACAAACTAAAATGATGAATGAAAGAAATAGATGTGCATGTTGCTTATACTCAAGAGCATTATCGCTATCAGTCCATGTCATACAAAGAAACTCTGCTTCTAGCCACAGGTCAAGAGCTGTAGTTCCTACCACACAACTTTGCGATGCTGTTTGCAAATGTTCTTTAAAACTGTATTGTTTAGGGAAACACTGAATTGTTGGTAATGACAGAACTCGTGTAGTTGGCTAACAATGCTTTTTGGAAACGTCTGGAAGACAAAAAGTTTAAACTTAAATAAAAATAAAATGAATATCAAACATCTGTCTCTTATAATTATGCTACTGAATTTGGCCACAGTTTTGTACAGCAGTCAGAATATAACACATTTGGTTCAAGGGTACAAACAACTATTACTAAGCATTGAAGAAAGGCACAATTTGCAACACAGTTAAGCAATACAGTAAAGAGTAACTCTAGTAAAGTACACAGATATAATGCAAAAGAAAAAATTCCAAAACAACAGTCAGGAAAGTTGCAATCCCCTCTGGTTGTGTTTTCATGGAAGAGCTTCTTGTATCAGACGTCGATTTTAGATTAGACGCTGTAGTAGACGTTGTTGTTGGATGTGCTGTTAAGACAAAAACATTTGAAAAATATTGTTGAAACTAAATTAATGATTGTCTAAAAATGCAATAAACACATGCAATGTGCATGCTGGGTGTTATTTTGACAAAAAATAATGAGGTGTTAAAGATGAAAACCCAGTATTACAGATTACACCCAACTAACTCAAACTGTCTATGTGAGTAATGACTCTTTCTACATACCTTTGACATGCAGCGTTAGTTTGAATTCCTTTTTCACACCTGGGATATCACATGAGAACTGCCCTGTGTCGGTGACCATCAGATTTGAGAGTATAAGAGAAAAGTTCCCATTCTCGTGCCGTGAGAGAACACTTTTTATTCGACCCTTGAACATTGCATCCTGTTTGTTTGTTGATGGATTCCCTTTTTCGATATCATAAACATTTTTGCTTTCATTGTATCTCCAAAACACATTAATGTCTTCTGGCTTTAGTTCTCTATCCTGGTATGAACATGGCAAGAGGACAGAATCTCCAACGAAACCACTGACCTGCAGAGACACTGGAGACAAGAGTAACAACTTTATAAAGCAAACAACAACAAAACAGACTGCACAAAGCAGAAAGTTACATGAATTAACTGAGGTCTGTGAATACTAACCTTTATCTATCAGATGAATAAATAATACATAAATGACCCAGCATCTGCACAAACCAAAAAAGAAAAAAATTATATATGATATAGGCAATGGTTAATGTATATATCCTTGGGCTATAATTTTACAACACAAGGCAACACTTCTGTTTCAGACAAGCGCCTGAGGTTTATTCCCTTTAAAACTGGAAATTAAACAAAATCATGCACAGAGGACAGTATGACTTCAGAGAAAGACCCACTGATCTATATATTTAGACAAGTGTCACTTTAAGACAAAAGACCCCTTATTATATCAGATGCTTTTTTCTTAGATTTTTTTTTTTTGAAAGATTTAATGCTATTCCACGCATATAGGTGTATTATAGGTGTAATAGGCTGTATTAACACATTTTTCTCAATATTGCATGATGAAATTAAAACATATTCAGAAAAACTATAATTGAAAAATAACTACACATTATCAACCTGAAAATTCTAGATGCCTTAATTTTTAAATAGTGTAGTTTTTTTTATATATATAATTAAGATACTGACATGACATCATGCTTCCAGTTGGCCTCATGACACCATTCATCATTGTTGTTTCACCACTTCTGCTATTTTACTATTGCAATTTATTTGTAATATCAACTAAACCATCTATTTTCTTGCGTCCAGCTTGTTTTACCCCACAGAACTGTAGTCTCTAACAAGTTATGTTCGAATAGGATATAGCCCTACTCACTCGGTGATTGACCTACTATTATTAAGAAACATCATTACAAGCATTTTTTGTATAATCTTGTATGGGCACCTTTCACATTTCCGTTGATCTCAGAAGCGGAAGTCATCGTAGACATAGAAATATTTTTTTTTGCGTTACAATTTGCCCCAATAGCTATACAACAAAATAAAATAAATAAATAAAAAATTATATGACTTTCTATAATTTGTCAAGAGATTGATTACAATGGTGAGAAAACAGAAGGCTGTCGAATTTGCCAGCACTTAAGTTACACACAGCAGCGTTAACTAGTTTTTTGTAATTTGATGGCAAGGTTACACAACACAATAGCGTTATTAATGCAAGTCTTAGAATTGAAATATAAAAACTTTGCTAGATTTACGATATTATTAACTGTGGAAACGAGTCAAACACTATGTGAAAAGGATGCATTGTGTATCAACAAATGTGAACATTCTTTTTTTTTTCTCATTTCTGATTTACGTTATCTAAATTGTCGTACTGTTTTATCGTACACCGTCCATGCTTTCTGATTGAAAGCAGAAAAGAAAGATTGAAAACATTCGCCGATTATAATTTTAATTTATACACAAAACTCTACAGTTACATACCTTACAAACATGACTCTCGTATTATATGTCTGCTATATGTCGTTTGTCCTAACGTTACCCAAGTCTAAGGTAAACGTAGCGGGCAATTTAAAAAGAAGAAAAGCAAAAATGTTTTAACGTTTACTCCTCCGCTTTCTGTTGCTTCCGTGTGCAAGAGTCACCGTTGCCAACTCTCGCGAGACTTCATCTTTTTTCTTCTTGTACGATAACTCTCGCGAGACAAATAAGCAACCGCAGCTTTAAAAACACGCCCAGAACAACCCCGATATTTTTTGATAATTTATTTATCAATATTATTTATCATCAATTATTTATGACCAATAAATGAGCCTACAACATATTAAATCGAAACTACCCTTTTATCTGAAAAGCAAAAACATAAGTTATTTTACAAAAATCAGCAAACTGCAACAAAGCAGGAACAAAACTCCTCTCCAATCACCTGTGAGCAGAATAGAACAAATAGAAATAGAAAAAGAAAAACACAAGAGCTTCAAAGGGGAGCTGTAATATAGCCACATATTTATAGCCTACTAAAATATTGGCTATTCGAAACAAAAATACTCTTAGTATTAGTATAGACCTACTTGTTTTTTTATTACAGCCAGTGATAATTAAAGCTAGGGCTGCACGATAAATCGCATGCGATATTTAACGCGCATCTTGTCAGTAAAGCCGGTTCTGTAATCAGCGGTAAATCTCCATCAACTGCGGGCTTTCACATTGAGCAGCATTAACTACACAGAGCCGTTGTTCACTGACAATCTGCGCAAAATCACGATCATACTTTGCGCATGTTTTGCGCAGCTCGTCAGTGAACAACGGCTCTGTGTAGTTAATGCTGCTCAATGTGAAAGCCCGCAGTTGACAATAAAGCAGACTTGACTTGACTTGACTTGACTTGAGATTTACCGCTGATTACAGAACCGGCTTTACTGACAAGATGCGCGTTAAATATCGCATGCGATTTATCGTGCAGCCCTAATTAAAGCATTACAAAAACATTGTAAAAATAAAAAATTAGGCTACTTTGTAAAGGAAAAAAAGTCATCTTATACTCTACGTCTACTATTATCATCGATTGAATTACAGCGTCACGCGCCTTCTTTTTGAACGTGATTTTTCTTCAATCCCCCATTGAGGGATCCAAGATCCACCCCCTAGATGTGGATGCCCCCTGGATCTTGTGTTCTGCAGTGAGGGACTACTGTAATATTTGGCAAATATTAAAAACGCTACAGCACTTATATTTTTGCACTGATTGGCTATTAACTGTGAGCAGAGTGTTAATCAATGCATTGGAGAATACAGTGAACATAAATGAAAAGAAACAAAGTTGCTTGTCAGGTTTTCCTAACAAGCAACCATATTTTTTAAAATAAGCCCAAAACACCGCAACCAGCGACCCGAGATTTTTTCACGCAACTTTACAAAAAAGAAGCCCAAAGTCACGTATAATACACGGACTAGGCAACTCTGGCAACAGTCAGAGGGAAACTCTGTTAATTTTCTTCTTCTTCAACGTTTTATGGCGGTTGGCAAACCCGCTTTTCGTGCATATACCGCCACCTACTGGGATGGAGTGTGGAGCATTGATGTTGACGGGAAAAGAAAAAAAAACAATCTTCCTTAAATCCTGTGTCTTTTAGATGTTTTAAGAGTATATTGACCACTCTTGCATCTTTATTTTATGAGGCGCCACGTAGGATTTAAATCAAACTTCGCTTATCAATACATACATAAAACACGTGTATATACACCTATAAATTACTCACATATAAATGTATACTATTGGATGTTCAAAAAATATATATGAAATACACGTGCACACCAATATGAAATCCATACCAATACATTTTTATTGTACTTTTCTTTTTGTCATATTTAATACATGTTATTTATAAAAGCCCTAAAGAGTCATTTGCCTAATTCTACAACATTATAAAAAATAAAAAAGAATGAATAACTTTTTTCTTATAAAAATGTGTGAATGTATACTATTGGATGTTCAAAAAATATATATGAAATACACGTGCACACCAATATGAAATCCATACCAATACATTTTTATTGTACTTTTCTTTTTGTCATATTTAATACATTTTATTTATAAAAGCCCTAAAGAGTCATTTGCCTAATTCTACAACATTATAAAAAATAAAAAAGAATAACTTTTTTCTTATAAAAATGTGTGTCTGTAAATCTTGTGTCAACTCTGTTACCATACCATACTTTGCCTTCAAATTAGTGGAATTATCTCCCACAACTACGTAAGATACAGGAAAGGATGTCACTTTCCCTCACTGTTAAGATCTGAAGCACTGAAAAGTCTATGTGCTCTCTCTAAGAAAATATTTTAATCTAAAAAGTTCTTACACCAAGAGTTATTTTATAAAGTGTCAAATCTGTTACCACAATATCAAAGGAAAACAGATTTTTTCATTGATCACACTGTTATTTTTATTTTAAGTCTTTTAATCATGATTTAATTAGTGCCATGTGCTCTTAGCATTTATGCTAGCAAGTGGAGTTTTTGGCAAAAAATAAAGAAAATTGTAAATTCTGTTACTGTCAAACTCTGTCACCAAGGTAGAATAACAATGCTGACAATGCGGTAACAGAATTGACATTCCATCGGACAATTCTGTCAATTCTGTTACTTTACTCTGTTACTTAAAGGGTCAACTCTGTTTATGAACTATTTTCACAAAAAA